TCATTGTTTCCTGGATTGTTCCTGTCATCAATGATCTGACCCAAGTAAATATTGAATTTTGAGGATTTTTAGCAAAGCATCAATTATTCCTATTCCCAGACACAAGAAAAATAACAGAGATGCTTGCTTTTCTGCAAGATGAGAAGGAGAACATTCTTTACCATTTTTTTTCTCTTAAAAATATGCTGGATTCCTTCTTTGCCAAAAGTGCTTGACTGGACGTATTTTCCATTCATTGATGATATGTCCACCAGCCACCATGGATTATGAGTTCTCCTTAACATTTCCCTTCAAACATCAGCTGGTCAATATGAGAAGACTGTTGGGTTAGACACAAAGCCATAAGAAAATATATCAAAGATGTATGGATGCAGGTAGCTGCTGGAATGGTGACCTTGTACTTTGCTCCAATGAGGATATGTCATGCAAAAAAAAAAAAATTCAAGTGTTTTTGGTGACAGAGATGTGGTCAGCCTTCTGTAATTAAGTGATTAGTGCTTGAGCTTATGGATACCTGAGTCAGCATTTTTTGGACCTTAATATTAGCATGTTAGATCAGCCTACATGACTATCTATTTAAATTGTCATATCCTTATGAATGGCCTTCATTTCTGAGTTCATGTGAAGTTTGTTTCATGGTTGGGACTTTCTCTCCAGTGAAGGAGCTATTCCTGGATACTGATGGGGAATCCTCACTGCGCACGCTTGTGTCCATGACCTGCAAGGAGACCTCCTCTCGTGTCCTCCATGTCCTCATGGAAAAGTGAGAGAATTAGGCAGTGATAGAATTTGAAACTCCCTGAGGTGTGGGAATAGATTAATGTGAGCTAATAACTTGATGTATTTTTTCCGTAAAGGTACAAATTGCTGGAGCATCTGACGGCTCTGCGACGGTACCTTCTGCTCGGCCAGGGTGACTTCATTCGACATCTCATGGATCTTCTTGAGTGAGTCTAATTCCATGGATTCAATGCTGGAAGAGCTTATGTGCACCATCTTTGCCAGCACAGGCCAAATAAATAATGGTAGTTCTGAGGAGTGATTATATGGTGATGGAAAGGAGGAGGAAAAGATTATATGATTGTGGGTGGGATTGTCATCCATGCCAGTGTGGGTTTGCTAATTACTGTAAATGTGATTTCGTTGAGCAGACCTGAATTGAGTGTGGCTGGGACTGAGCTGCTGCCATACAGTCTGCCATCCATCCTGGATGCTGCAGTCCGGGTGACAACTGCACAGTTTGAGTCACCCCAAGTGCTCCAACGCCTCAGCACTCGCATCATCCAGCCCATGCCAGGCGACATCGGCTGGGACGTCTTCTCGCTCTCCTACGATCTTGATGGACCCCTTGCTGCTGTGAGTTCTCTATCATGCTATTGCTTCTATGGATGCATAATGTTAACAAATTCATCTCTGAGTTGGTTTGATAGATTTTACACGATCTGGTGGCAAGAGTATTTTGTTCCCTGACAGGTATTCAGTAATGAATTTATTCTTTTTTGTGAAATATGAATTGTGAGGCATTCCTTCTCTGATTCATGTGTGCATGTTCTTTCATTAATTCACTGATGTAAAATATGTATCTGAATTTATTTCTGCATTTCTTTGTAGGTGGTGACTCCTGATGTGCATCTGCAGTACCAGCAGCTATTCTGCACACTGTGGCGAGCCAAGCGAATGGATCGGGCTCTCACTCGAATGACACAGGAGCTTCTCCGTGCCCACCGACAGCTTGCTGCCTTCCCTGGTAACAAAAATTGGTGTCCTTTCAAAAATGTGACTTGTGCTTTATGGTGTCCTTATGGGGGTAGTTCTTCTTCATTCAGTAGTTTCATTTCTTCATGACAACCAATGGGAATTCATTTAGTCTGGCTGATTTTATTTCTATTAATTCCTCCTAAATTTTGAACTAACTGAACTGAACCTTGTGCTCATGAAATAATGGTCTGTGTTCTCCTCTCGGTATGAAATACAATGTTTTATTAAATGTTTTGTTCTGCTGACACTTGATGCTTTATTGTTTACAAGGAGGTGTTCCAATCTTGAATGTAGAATTAGGTGAGGTGTTCCACCAGCTGCATATGTTGACTGCTCACATGGCACACTTCTCGACCCAACTCAACTACTACCTGTCGTTCGA